GTCTCACTTTAAACTTTTATCAGAAAAATACTTTGCGTATAAAAAATATTTGTGATGGTTGTAAAATCAATTTCTACTATTAACTATGAAATTTGAAGCTTAAACATGAGTCCAGATCTTGCAGCTCATGGACGCTCTAAATAATATATTGTAATGTACATTATTTTTATGGTTTGAAATCCTTATTTTTACTAACAACCATAGTAGTCAAATTCGAGATGATTGATTTGAAAGTGAACTGCAATTTTCCGTAGTTTTGATGTGAGACTACACTTTTTCCCTTAAGGCCTAGGCCTTTTATGACCTTTTTCCTTTCCTAAATAAGAAAAAGATAATTTTCATATGGATAAAGTTTATTTAAAGCATCAACCTTATACTGTAGAAGTGAGACGCACTTCAAAAATCTATCAGGAAAGGGTATTTTGACATCGAGAAACCCTCAAACTGATCATCTTAACCTCGAGATGTGTGGATGTGAATAAAAAAGGATTTCAAGACCTAAAAATAACGTATTTTGTATTTCAAAATTTTAAAGTGTTTATAGGTCTGCTTGATCTGCATCAGTCTTAGAGGATAAAGATAGTTTTTTAGGCCTAAGGGTTTTCTCTTTTAACAAAATTCATAATTGTGCCTTGCATTGATTGTTATGCCATAATTTTTTTGTTAATTTTATATATTTTATATTTTATGCCATGATTTTTTTGTTAATTTTTGTTAATTTTTCTCCCCAAATTATCCCATTTCTGGTACGTGAAGTGAAGGAGTGCATCAAAATTTTAAGGGTGCAATTGCCATACGAATGCATCCATAGGTGTAGAGGTAAGGTGCACCTCCAAATTTTATCATGATGTATAATTTTGAAGTAAAATGTTATTAGGATTGTCTCAAAATCTATTTTATATCTAATTATAAAATTTTAAATTTAAAAAATAGTTAAAATCAAGTAGATCTATAAACATACAAAAATCTTGAAAACGGATGGTGTAGATAATATGTTGTAAAATGCACTATTTCTGATACTTGAAAAATTTTTATTTTTCAAAGTCATACATCTTGATGTCGAGATGATCAATCAAAGGGTTTTTCAACATTAAAACTACCTTTTCCGATGGATTTTTGAGGGGCATTCGTAGTTCTACATTATAAGGCTGCATCCTTATATAAACTTTTTCCAAATTTTAAAGGGAAGTTATAAGAAACCCCCAATTTAACTTTTAGGCAACCAAGCCCCCAACAGTTCTGATATCATACTTCCTCTACAGCATAGAAGATCTATGCTTCTCCTACCATCCAGCCATCCAATTTTGAGCAGGTGAGCCACTCATCGTTTGATCTTAGATCCAATGTCTCAAAGTATTTTATTTTTATTTTTTTATACAAATTGTATAAATATGAAATTTGGTACTTGTCATCTTCTCATTGGGGCGCACCTATAAAAATTATTAAAAATAATTTTTCGATAAAATATAATGACCAAAATACCTCTTGAAATTTTCTGAAGTTTTGGGTCATTTTATTTTATTGAAAATATTTTTTTTTATATTTTTCTCTAGTGCGAGTTTAATAGAAGATTGGACGTCCAAAATTTGGTATCATAATAGTTTATATATAAAAAAATAAAAATAAAATAGTGTAGAGACATGACATTGTGATTGAGGCATTCTTAACCCTTCATTCAGAATTGACGGTTGGATAAGGGGAAGTATATAAGTTTTATGTTGTAGGAAAAACATAAAAAGCTTGCCTTCCTATTTAAACCAGCACTATTTTTTTTTACAATCACCCTCAAATATAAAGTGAATTTTTCAAACCAAAATAACCCTCTAGCCCTATTTTTTTTGGAACCAAAATACCCTTTTTTTAGGCTACATTTTTTACTCTCTCTCCAAGAAAGCTTATGCCGGACATCAACCTCTGCTGGGCGTCACGTTTAAACCTACTTAGATAGAGAAAGTAGAAAATGTGGCCTAAAATAGGGTATTTTGGTTCCCAAAAAGTAGGACTTTGGGGTATGGTTGTAAATATAAAATGTTGAGCATGTATACTACGTTCCAGAGGGAGTAGATTGTGCATCTACTCTCTTGTCCAAAGCACCTATTTAGGAAAAAAATTTAGTCTAAAATTTTGCGAAGCAAATAAGAATTATTAGATGACTATTTTCAAAAAAAAAAATTGAATTTTGAGTTTTGTGACTTTTAGATATAGCCTTTCAAAAATTGGACGGTCTTGATTCAATCTTGAGGCATTAATTTTTTCACATCAAGATTGTATTTTGGAATTTTTTGAATTGAGATTAGTCTATAGAATGTAGAGATTACGTCCCCAAATTTTGAGACCTAAGAGGTATCCTTAGTATATGTTTTGCCCAATAGAGTAAATGGAGAGTATACTTTCATGAGAGTAGGAAGTCATTTGGCTAAAAAGTTTTGGGGTTATCTGTATGATTTACAATGTATTGAGGGGTGGCATGCCTAGAAAGTAGGCTCATGGGGTATCTATAATTGTTTCTAAAATTAAAAGAGTCCAGATAATTTTATAATTGTTTTTAAATTGGACACGGCTTGTATGGGTCTATGTAGAAATGAGTGCCCTCTTAAAATTATATTTTTGAGATGGATTTTTTGACCCAATTTTTAATAATATATAATGAACATGGAGATCATGAATTTGAAAAAATAAATAAATTAAAAAATTAAAAATAATGATTTTATGAAGAAAATATTTGGACTATTAATTTCAACTATTTTAAGATGGACCACTCATTTGCATCTATCTTTAAATGGAAACTTTATCTCTCGGGGAACGCAAATATAGAAATGCATCTCCCACTCTTGAAACAATTTTCCTTTTAAATTAAAAGAGTTAGAATAATTACCTCCTTTTTTTTAATATTCACAGATGTCATTTTATTTTTTTTCACAGATGTCATTTTATTTTTTTAACATTCACAGCTATCATTTTATTAATTATACTTGTATATAACAAGACATTTGAAGGTACAAAATAGAGTTTGTAGGGTAATTATCGCAAATATACCTATATTTTAGCTTAATTGGGAAAAAAAGTCAATTTAAAAAAACCTCGTCTATATCCTTTTTCTTCATTTTCAGTTTTTTTTTTTTACGAAAATGACCTTCACAATGGTCGTTTTACCATAATTTATATTAAGTTTTACGGTAATTAAAATACTGTAATAACTTGAAGTAGTATTACGGTACTTTGAGTACCGTAATAGATAACATTTTCTTTACTGCATTTTTTCTACCATAATTAAGCACCATGTATGGCTTCCTTCTCGACCAATGAGGGAGAGGCGAGAGAGATGAGACTTGAGAGAGAAATGGGTTTTACGTGTAAGAGAGAGATTTGAGAGAGAAGTGGTGTGGAGAGAAAGAGATAAAGTTTAGGAGCAGATGGAGATGAAATAGAGATAATGACCGGTAGGAAAGTTGAAAGGGATAGAGATGATTTGTTGGGAGAATTGAGAGAGGTAGAGGGAGAAAGTGTTGAGAAAGATGGGTATGTGGGATTAAAAGTGCTATATAAAATGAGTTAAACATTACGGTAGTTAAAGTACTGTATAAAATGGAAACATTAATTACGGTAAAACGACTACCGTGAAGATTATTTTCGTTAAAAAAAAAACCCTAAAATGAATAAAAATGGTGTACGCGAGATTTTTAAAAATTGGGGTTTTTTCCAATTAAACTAAAATATAAGATTTTTTTTTCCAATTAAGCTAAAATATAAATATATTTGCGATAATTACCCTACAAAATACAACACTTATTCATCCCACTTTCAATATCAACAGCTATACTCTCTAATACTCTTATTTACAATTAAATTTGGAATCATTACATCTCCAGCTAAAGCATCAGGTTCTTTGTTCTTCTATCTCAATTGCTCTCCCTCCCCACATTCTTGAAAGAGGTTTTAATCTCATAATGTGCTCCCTCACCAGCCCCACCTTCCCTCCATAAAAACCACGATAGTAACTTTATAAAGTAAAAGATTGATATGCTCCCATTCTTGTCGCCCCTCTCTACCCCCCACAAAGCATAATAAGAGTAATTTTATAAGGCAAAAGGTTTATATGGTCCTCCCAGTAAAAGCTCCCTGCATTGTTTTTATAAGGCAAAAGTTTGTATACTCCTCCCAGTGTAGTCCCTCTTTAGGTAGAAAGCCCTCTAGGAGTAGTTCTTGGACCCCGAATATGGCGGATGGAACCTCCTCAATTTAGTGACCAGCTTCAATTAAAAAAGTTAAAAGAAGTGTTGAAGTATTTTTTGCCTTAAAAAAGTATCCTCATAAGATTGAACAGACCTAATTTTCGAATGGTCGGATTTAAATGCTGAGAAACTCAAGTCATTTCTCTTTTATTCCAAAGTAAGTAACCATTTAATGATTGTAAAGTAAATCTCAAAATTTTACAGCTTATTTTTTCATTTCGAAAGTGAAGGATACAACCTTTTTTTTTTTTATACAATTGCTATTGTTGTACATTTGCCCACCTACAAAACAAACCTCACTAACCAATACTCGGTTAAATTATCATTTTTTAGGTTTATTCTATTGAACAAACTCAAAGTTTAAAAAAATATCTCGAATTTTATGATACACCCAAGTTATTAAATTTCACATCAAATGATTGTAAATAACTGTGACCTCCTCATACCAAAAGATAAATGGTCTCGTTGTATATAATCTCAATAAGTAATATTGCCTCGATATGAACCAGCCCTTGACTTACTATTAAAAAACCACAGGCCACACATCACACTCACTGGGAAGGTAGAGTAACACATCTCTCTCTTTAAAAAAAAAAAAAGATGGTATAAAATGAGACTATTAACTTTTAATAAAAGGTGGTCACAATAATCTTGACCATTGGATGTAAAATTGAGTGGCTGTAATTATTCTATTGACCAAACTCAAACTTCAAAATAAATTTTCTCGAATTTTATGATACAAGCTATCAAATTTCACATTAAGTAGTTGTAGGATTTGTGACCACCCAATTTATTTCGTGTACAATAAAAAAAAAAATGGTGTCACAAACTTTATATCTATCCCTTTCGTCTACACACAAGTCAGTTTACAAAATTACTCTGAAAATCAAGAAAACATGGATAAAAATTGTAAAATCTTTTTTCCTGTTTTTTTAACCTTTTTGTGGAGCCTGTACCAAGTCCTGAAAGATTTTCCTAAGGGATAGCGATAGTTTTCCAAGAGGATAACATGAGTTGGGGTTGCTCTTCTTTTCATGTACATTAACTCCACTACCTAAATAGAAATCCATTTAACATATTTCCAAACCAACATTTTAGCAGTTGCTTGTACCTAAAATTCAAGTTTTGATCTCTTCACCAGCTTCCATTGGTACTCCAATTCCATTGTGTTTTGAAGAATGAAGCTCCATTTATAGGTCTTTCATCATAGACAATATAATGGAGATTTTACCTTTGCCTTTCAAGTCCCATACAATCAGAGACCTGCAACTAAACCAGTTGTGCAGTCAAGGCAAGCTCAAAGAAGCCATTAAAGCACTCAACTCCATCCCACAACATGCTTTGGACCCAAGTCCAAGCACCTACATTTCATTGCTCCAAGCTTGTATCGATGCGAATTCAGTCTCTCAAGGGAGAGATATTCATGCCCATATCCCTCTCTCTCTCAAAACCAATCTCTCTCTACAAACCAAGCTTGTTAGCATGTATGCAAAGTGTGGGAGCTTGGACGTGGCACGCCAAGTGTTTGATGAAATTGGAGACAAGAATAGTATTTTCTTGTGGTCGGCCATGATTGCAGGTTATGCGAGGGAAGGTACGTGTATACCTTCTCCTTTCCATTCTCATAAAATAAAATAAATGAATGAATTAAAAGGGCTTTGAATTGTTTAATTATGTTGTAAGTCATTGCTTTGAATTTGCGTTGGGTTTTGAAGAATTACATGCATATATCTAAATCTTTCTCGGACAGTGCATGATGTTTAGGAATGTATCCCATAATGATGGGGACATGGAGCCGATCCCAATTAATTGGAGAAAGGCTTTAATGATGATGACGATCCCGTACTACTACATTTTGATTTCAAATAATACCCTGCCATCTTCTTACCCAATTGAGGTCAGCAATGGACAATTGAGTGTCAATTCTCTGCTCAAAGTCCAACAAATTTATTCACAGGCTGCGAGCAATATTTATCAAACATCTTTCTCAACATTATGTGGTTGAGGAGAGTTAGGGTATTGTTTGAAACTATAGCAGTAGTATACTGACCCATTTCTGTAATGTCTTCCTTGCTCAATGTCCAGGCTTCCTTTTAAAACACAAGTTGCTTCCTTTCAAGAACCGATTTTTTATTTTTATTTTTATTTATTTTTTTGTCAATCTTCTGCTAGTTATCTTTCCCTGATATTATTTTTTCTGCTTTTTTCTTTGATGCAAGGGAAGGCATATGGGAAGAAGTTCTCATGCTTTCCGTCTCTATGCAACAACAAGGTGTCACTCCTGATTGGTTTCTTTTCCCAAAGATTCTACAGGCAATCAATAACTTGGGTCTTTTAGATAAAGGCAAAGAAACCCATTCTTCAGCTATCAGAAAAGGCCATATCCTATCAGTCCATGTAGCTAATTCTTTAGTAGCAATGTATGTAAAATGTGGTGAGTTAAGCTATGCTCGTAAACTCTTTGATGGCATGACTCAAAAAGATTTGGTATCATGGAACTCCATTATCTCTGGGCATTTTAAAAATGGTAATACTGAAGAAGCCATCAATCTCTTCAAGCAAATGCAGGTAGAAGGAATAAAACCAGGCGTAGTCACCTTTAACATTATGATCTCAAGCTATAATCAAATGGGAAACTGCGATTTAGCCTTTGATTTAATGGAAAAAATGCAGTTTTCAGGCATCATTCCTGATGTAGTCACCTGGACTTCGATGATCTCAGGGTTGTCTCAAAATGAAAGAGAAAACCAAGCTTTGCATCTATTTAGAGAGATGAGGTTTGAAGGAATCAAGCCTAATGGAGTCACAGTAGCAAGTGCTTTGAATGCTTGCTCTAATTTGAGATACATCAACTGGGGAGTTGAGATTCATTCTATGGCTGTGAAAGGCGGGTTTGCAGAGGAGTTATTAGTAGGTAATGCCCTGATAGATATGTACTGGAAATGCAGTGACCTAGAAGCTGCAAAGAGGGTTTTTGATAAACTAACTAGGAGAGATGTTTTCACTTATAATTCCATGATTGGAGGTTATGCGCAGTCTGGGTACTGTGGCAAAGCCCATGATCTCTTTATGGAAATGCAAAGCTCGAGTGTCAAGAGAAATACGGTAACATATAATACCATGATCTCAGGACATTTGAAGAATGGCGATGAAGATCAAGCTCTGCAACTCTTTCAGAGAATGGAACTGGAAGGGGTTCTGAGAAATACAGCTTCTTGGAATGCTTTGATTTCTGGGTTTTTGCTTAATGGTCACTGGGAAGAGGCCCTGGGAGTTTTCCGAAAGATGCAAGCTACTCAAATAAGACCCAATTCAGTCACAGTTCTAAGCGTATTGCCTGCTTGTGCCATTTTAATGGCAGCAAAGAAGTTAAGAGAGATTCACTGTTTTGTGATTAAACATCATCTAAAGGCTGAGATCTCTATTGTGAATGCTCTAATAGACACTTATGCCAAGTTGGGTGATATAACCTTTGCCCAAACGTTGTTTGATTCTATGCTAACAAAAGACATTATATCATATAATTCAATTATTTCAGGTTTGGTAATGAATGGCAAGGGCAGAAATGCTATAGACATATTTGAGCAGATGAAGTTACTTAGGATTGCACCAAACCAAAGAACAATTTTGAGTGTGATCAATGCATTTGGGCTAGAAAAGATGGTGCCTGAAGGTGAGAAGTTATTCTCTACCATGGCTGAGGAATTCCAGTTGTTTCCAACCATAGAACATTGCTCAGCCATGGTTGGCCTTTTGGGTAGGGCCCGTTTGCTCAGAGAAGCCATGGATTTCATTGATAATATGCCTCTTGAACCAGATGCCTCAATTTGGTCTGCTTTTCTTTCAGCCTGTAGATGTAATGGCAATATCAGGTTAGCCACCCATGCAATTAAAAAGCTTTTGGAATTAGAACCCGAAGACCCTTTGATTAATCGGATTTTGTCACAGATATATGATGGTTCGAGGTCAAGAAATCATGTGAAGAATCAAGCCATGGTTAAAGCATTCGGGCACACCTGGATTGAAGTAAAGAACTTGGTGCATGAATTTGTTGCAGGGATGGTATCCCTTCCATCCTCAGATTCTCTCTCTATTAAGTTGAAAAGCTTGGCAGAAATATACAAGAGTAAAGGACGCAAGCTTCCTGATGCAGGGTTTCTTCAATTGGAAGAGGAAGAGAAAGAGGAGATTATAGGCACCCACTGTGTGAAGCTGGCCATTACTTTTGGAATCATAAATATACATGCACCCCAAAGCATTCGAGTGGTTAAGAACATTCGGGTGTGTCAGGAGTGTCACGATTTTGCCAAATTTGTCTCCAGAAACTGCAGTCAAGAAATTCTTTTGAAGGATCCAAAGACCCTTCATTGTTTTAAAAATGGACAATGTTCTTGTAAAGACTATTGGTGAATCCAAAGCGTAAGGACTTAGGGCCAAAAGCATCCCATCACTCAAGGTGGTTGTGTTTCTTCGTATTCAATCAGCATATTTGTTACCGAGCAGTTACTCTCGCAGAAATATTTTAAGAATTTGATTTCAGTCTGATGTGACAAGGAACATAAATTGCAATAACTGAAAAGGATATCAATGTCCATAATGATAACATATGACATATTGGGGGCGTGACAATCAGACTTATATATTTATTCTGTTAATGTGAGATTTATAAGGTCATAAATATTGTGGATTTTTAGCATTTCGAAGAAAATTTACAGACATTAGGGTTGCACAAGGGAGAAAAATATTCAATTCTCATTGAATCTGAGAAGTTACTTTTAGAGAATGGAAGTGTTCAAATGGACTTTGAGAAAGAGGCGAGGCTCACAGTGCATTCGATATAGATTGTAATGAGGATGTGCTTCGATAAACTAAAGTTGTGAAATTAACAGAATTTAAAAAGGAATTAGTACTGGAAATGCACCAAAACAGGCAATGCTATTTAGACAGAGGAAAATATATTGTAATCCAATAGAATATAGAAAAAGAAAACCACAGTCCATAGTCTTTTGGGGTCATCAGCATCCAATGAAAGGACTAACAAAAATTGGGAGACTGGGACTCACCAGAAAAGATGAAAAGATGCGACTCTAATGGTGGGTCACACTTTCTCTTCATCTCCAAACATCAATGCATCAGATGGTGATAAACTTCACCGTAGATGTAATAAACTTGTATAGTACAAATAATGCCAAACGTCACTATTCAATATAACGACATTCACAAGCAGTATATTTTCCCATTCCAGATCATTTAATCACTAACAATCCAAAGGTTTAAATTGCTATCCTCTCAAGAGCCCCCATAAACATAAAACAAGCCACATTACGTTGCCACAATCTACACAAAAATCATGATTGTCATATCATTGACAAATATTTGCACTTTTATGAGTGCATTGGAATAAAACCAACAAAAACTTCAAAGCTGTCTGATACTTGACCAAACAAGAAAAAGAGCTACCAGAACCTTCCATTTCTAGAGCTTCTACGGGCAAAAACTGCCTTTCTTACCATGGATCAAAAGAAGTGCTCTATCATAAGTAACATAGCAACATAGCCACATGGAGACACCCAAATGTTTGGCTCTTGGCTGGTATATGAACCAATTAGGACTTGCAATAGACAGGTAAGAGCTTATATTGAAGCTAAGAAGGAAGCAACACTGGAAAATGGATTGATTTACTTGTGGGTTCAGTCCTTAACATCAACAACTCCTTCTGGTGAAATCTGAAAGCGTGCCTCAGCTTCTGCCAAGCAAGGAGAACTTATTACTTTACATATGCGTTCCTCCCCCCTTCCCTTGCGAAAAGCAAGCCTAAAATGAAATTAGAACATCACAACATGATTATAGGCACTAATTTCATTGTAATTACTCCAAAACTCAAACGTCTTTGCAAAGATTAGAATTATGGAAAAACCTTTGTTGTATATGGGTATTTGTGTCAGTGTCAGAAATGGGTATGCTTCATGCCATAAGTAGGATTCGGCATTGGGCAACACGGCTATATCACGAAAAGACAGCCAAATCCAAAAATGTTTTACTAACATTCCATTTCATGATGAGAGGCAAAAAATAATCAATTGTATATTATTGGGCTGGATCTCATATTTTCAAAGTCCCATTGATATTTTCAAAGTACATGTCCACTCAAAAAGAAAAAAAATATCGGCATTAAATGATTTGATCAATAGATTAATATAAAAGGAGAATCCAAAGAATCTGTGTTGGTATGTGTGTCAAAATGGTGTCCAACACGAGTATACTACCAAAACATAAGAATCCATGTGAAAATCAAACAAAAATAAAAGAGGAGATCCTGGGGAATAACCCATAGAAAATGAAATAAACCTCTCTCTCTCTCTCTACTA